CCTTCTTCCTCCGTCTGAGCTCTCATTTCCCCCTGCCCTTGGTGTTTCCTCACAATTTTGATTTGAGTCTTTTACCACATTACACCTGGTTCCTCTCCATCTCCTTACAACCCAGTCTCCCAGAAATCAGTTCTAGCTTATTAATAATTTTCATTTCCTCCCTTAAATTCAAACTAGTTTAGTGGATTAGTCTCTCTCTCTCTCACACACTCACACTCACCCACTTCTGGGGACATTCTGTGATGAATAGCCTTGTGATATCTCCTTTCCTCCTCCTTTGCTTGTACACTATTTTAGACTGCAAATTATTTAAATGTGTGTAAAGCACACATTCTAGTGTACAATTTGCAGGGCAGAGATTGTGCCCCTCCTTTGTTTGGAAAGTGCCTGGCACATATTGGGCAGATTATTGCAATATAACAATAACCACCAAATACAGTGTTCTAGAAATAAAGAGCTGTTCTGTTTCAAATTGGAGGCTCTTTTTGGACAGAAAACACACATCTTTACTTTTTAAAGTATTAAAAATGTGTTAACCTCATGTTTATGCCACACATCCGTACCATAGGTAAGTACTATAGCCTCCATATAACAGTTGGGAAAAATAAACAATGTTATACACATTCCCACTGGTCCAGCTAAACCTGTGGGAGCATTAGCGTGAGCCCTCCACTAGAGAAGGTTTAAACGAGACGGTAGTGTTATAATAATTTATTAATAATAAATGATTATAATAAATGCTTATTTAACACTATAGTCTCATCCAAACTTTCTATAGCGGTAGACACTGGTCCAGGCATGGGAGCTTTGTGTACAGAGGGCTCATGCTAGATTTCACTAAGTTTTTCTTGCTAAGATTCTCTCCTTCATTTATACTGAATTGTAATAATCTGTTGCATGTGCACACCTGATGTCTAATTGATAAATTAACATTCCGTGACAAATATTTCTCCTTCTTGGATGTTGTAGGAGAGAAATAAAAATATGCAGGAGTTTACGTTAAAATATGAGTATTCTCAACCAATGTAGTTTTTACTCTGGTTTATACAATTCACCTCTTTCCCTCAATCAGGGCTATATTAATAAGCTATCTCGAGGTACCTGAGGTTGTGCACAAGTATTCCATAAGCGTAGGCTATATCTGTTACAAACAAAGAGCACTGTGTGAGCAGAGAAGAAATCACACACAAAATGAAAGAAGAATGAACAGGAGAGGAAAGTGAAAATAAAAGGGTTCCAAGCCTACACATACACATGAGGCCAAACCCTGTCATATTAAGGTCCATGGGAATTTTGCCACTGGGACTGAATTGGGACCAGGATATGTCCCAAACAAAATTTTAAAAAGGGAGCAGAGGGGAAGCTATACCTAAAATTAGATGAAAATACAGGAAAAGTTAAAAGGGAGACTGAAGAAGGAAGTAAACATTAAAAGAAAACAATAAGGACGAGTGTCAGATGTGGATTTAGGGAGGAGCAGGGAGAAAAATCAGCTAAACCAGAGAGTCTGCTGTGCAGTTTCAGAGCCAAAATAACTGAAGCAGCACTTTGTATTAAGAGCTTTATGTTTATTCAACCTGTTGCATTAATACTTAAACAACTTGGATTCCGTGTACTCCAGTAAATGGTCTTTAAATATGTATTTACTGTAAAAGCCTTAGATTCTAATATATATATATATATTTTGGAGACTGTAATGCAGATTGTCTCCTCTGTTGATACAACAGGACTGCTTAAGGCTCATCACAGAGTCAGTTATTTAACACAAAGGCTTAGAGGGAAAACAATATGATCAAGGACTACAAGCTAATAATAGAAGTTTGCAGTGCTTCCATTCAGCATATAAAAGCTAGGCTTAGTGAGATCAGACACAAAGCACGTTGTCTGTGTAACAAAGCTAAGAAAAGTGTTATTATGAAGAAAAGTAGGAAGGCAAAAGTAGCAAGTGGTTTGCTTTGCAATTCAGAGGGACCGTCTGTGGGGGAAGCGGGGGAGGAGGAATATATTATGGAAACCCATATTTCAATTAATGTAGCTCCCTTACATTCTACAACCAATACATTAAAGCTCTGTGTGCTGGTGGATTACTCATCTGTAAAATCTTATGATAAAATACATCTACAAACAAACATTTAAAAGAGTGAAATATTTTGGATCCTATTTCACTAAGATTATTCAAGCAAGGGGGCATATTGGCAAAGGACTTGTCTCAATGGAGGGCAATGTTATTTCATTATTTAGGGTAAGTCCATGGTTGTTTTTAGATTTCAGAGTGAATTTTGCGTCATAGGAGCTCAACATGTTTCTTGATTTATTAAAATATCTTCATAAGTATTTTGGGAAGGGTATTAAACTTTAATCATTAAGAGACAGATTCTGAACTTTATCCAAGTGGGATAGTAATTTAATGCCACAAATAGTGCCCCTGAAGTCAGTGGAGCTACTAAGTATGCCTTTTTTCTACAGTCAGTTTTGAAACTTGAGCAGTATTGCTAACTCCAAGTACATACTGAGCAGTTGGTTTCTAAAAGGCCATACTATCTGGTCACTCCTCACAGATCATTTAGAATCATTAATTTCTCTAAGATGCCCAAAGCAATTTCAATAAATGTCAAAAAACTCTTAGGAATTTCCACACTGGGTCAGAGCAGAGGTCCATTGGACAGTATCCTGTCCCAACAGTGGCAAGCATCACATGCAGCAGAGGCAGGTGTAAGAAACCCACAGTTAGCTGATGTGGGATAATCTGCCCACACAGAGGTCTCAGCCTAATCAGAGTTTGGTTTAAATCCTAAAGCATGAGGTTTAATATCCCTTCCAAAATTCGTTATTAATTATAGCAACTCTGGATATTCTTGATATCTGTATCCATATCCAGTCTAACTCTTGTTAAAGTCTTGGCCTCAATGACTTCCTGTGGCAATGAGTTCTACCTCTTAAATTGAGGTTACTTACCTTCAACTGGAGGTTCTTTGAGATGTGTGGTCCCTATCTGAATTCCAGACCTGGGTACACATGTGCAGCATGTGCTTGAGATCAGAGATTTCTAGCAAGTAGTGTCCATTTGTCCGCATCTGCACAGTTGCTCTCCTCATGCTCCGAACTGAGGGTATAAGAGGCAGTTCAGGCTGACGTCTTTCCAGTTCTGCTGTTACCACAAATCATAATGATCTGAAGCAGAGGGGAAGGAGGGTGGGTAGTGGAATGCAAAGAGGGACCACACATCTCAAAGACTCTCCAGGTACGGGTAAGTAACCTCTCCATTTCTTCTGTGAGTGCTCGTCCCCATAGGTATGTCCACACTGCAATGTAATCCCAGGGTTAGTGGGATTTGAGTCAGCGGATCCACGTTTGAGAAGCCAGGGCTTAAGCACACTGATTGCCAACCCTAGCTTAAGGTTGACTTAAGGAAGACTTAAGAATTTTTTAACCCAGGCCTGAACCGAGGGCTCTGGCATCTACACTGCCATGTCCAGCCAACTGTATCCCAAACTCCCAAAATGTGGCTGCTCTAGCCCTTCGTTCGTGGTGCAGTGCTGAAAAATTAGACTGTCCACCCCGCATGTTACAGGAAGTTTGAACAGGCTGTCAACACATCCTGCCGAGTCACCATTTTGGTCTGAGTGCTCCCAGATTCAGCAACATGGGGGACTTGCTATTTCAAGAACTTTTCTAACTTGGGCTTTTTCTCCTGTTTCAGCAAGTAAACAGAGCTTCCATGAGACACTGGTGGGAAGCTCAGTGGTGTTTCCTGACCCACCAAAGGCACTTGACAGATTTAATGAAGAAGAAGGAAGGTGACAGTCATGGAAGACTCAGACTGGCTGATGCTGCTTATGACACTCAGTATAGCCACTGCCCCGTATGCAGCCAGTGTCCACTGCCCCGTATGCAGCCAGTGTTTCTGGGGCAGGGTGACAAGCAATAGGTCCAAAACATTTGCATGAAGAAAGGTTCTGAAGCACCGTGAATAGCTTGCCCAGTATAAAGATGCGCATAAGGGCAGCCATGCTGGTCCACAAGTAGGTTGCTATAACCACCTAGAATGTGGCTACCCAAACTGCTACAGGTCCGTTACTAACCAGTTTGGTGTTGGGAAGTTGACTGCAGGAAAATGGTGGCAGAGGGTTTCTGAGGTAACCAGTCATGTGGCTTACCCCAAAGTGGTAGGCATAAAAGACATGCCTGAAGTAATTGCTGGCTTTGCTGCGCCATGTCCATTGATGGGATTCCTGTGCCCATAGTTTGTCCTCCTCAAGGAGCATGAGTACATAAACTGCAAAGGGTACTAACTCCATAGTTATGCTGGCTCTGGTGGGCCACAGAAGCTGATTTATGAATGCCAGTGTTGGCTGCTCTGGAAAGTTCATGCTGCCAAAGTTTTCTGACGTTTCGGCGACTACGTTCATGGACAAGCTGGGACACTATTCCATCCACATGACATTGTCATAAACAGAGTTACTGTCCCCACTGTTACTCTGGGAGACAGCCCCCCAGACCTCCTTCTGTCACAGCTTATGAAACCATACCCTGATCTCAGAGGCCCTGACAAAAGATGATTTAATTACTCTCTCAGGGGGTGTGGAATGGTGGTGGAATGTGTGTTTTGCACATTGGAATCCAAACAGGTCTGTAGACATTGCCAATGGGATTTCAGTGTCATCAATGCTGTCTGCATTACTGTAGCTTGCTGTGCTCTGCACAGTCTTTGTGAAGCTGAATGGACCTATGACAGCGAGGGACAGCTGAACTGGTACTGAGCCAGAAAGTGCACCTACCGCAGCTGCGGCTGGATGCAGTCCAGCAACAGAAATCAGGGATGTTTGCATGGCCCAATGGAAGAGGGAGGCATTGATTGTTTGTCTGGGTGGGGTGTTGATTGCATTGCACTGTATTTCTGAATGACATTACTGCTTATGAAAGGGGGGGGCAGAAGGGAAACCATATGGATTTATGTATATAACTGTACTGAGACATGGATTTTGCATACAGCCCCCAAATTGTCCCTGATCATGTGTTGACCTTTATTACTTGAAAAACACATTAGCTGATGTGTTGCAATGAGGGCAATAAAATTTCTTTATAATTTTTTCCCACATATATTGGACAAGTACACTATTAAACCACTGCCTGGCAAGCCAGCTGCCATTACACCAGCAACACAAAAAGCTTTAAAGTAACCAAGCACAAAGTGCATAAACAAGTACAATCAGTGGAATGATGTACAAGACACCGCCCCTCATTACTACTGAATGTCCCGTCCTCCCATTCTCCTTTCCATTCCTTCCACTTTTGCCACACACTTGAGGCTGGAGCAAGGGGGGAGGCATCCACAAGGGAGGGGTTCAGCACTGAGGACTGCATGCATCCCACTGTTCATATGGCCCAACTGCATGGCCCACCCAGCTATGCAATTGTCCAAGCTGTTCTTGGAATGCAGACCAGGTTACTGCAGAGGGGTATGTCTTATGACTATTAGAGACAGCAGCTGCTCACAGTTCTCTCTCGTGCACTCTATCATCCTCCCTTCACTGCCATTCCTGTTCCAGGAACTGCAAACAAATGTCTGCTCCTGTTCTGCTACCCTATGCTCAAGCTGCCAAGCCAGCCTCTCACCATATCTTTCCTCTTGCTGCAAGTTGCTTTGCCTTTGGTACTCAACCTGCCTGTTGGCCTGGGCCAGAATGTCAACGTAAGTACACAAATGCTTCCTCTTGTAACAGTGCAAGAAGCTATGGGGAGCCAGGCTTCTGCAGTGTGGGGAAGCTTTGGCGGTATTATAGCTTGTAGAGGGCGAAGGGCTTGGAATAGGACAAGACAGAGGGTTGTCTCAAATAGCCCAGTGCCAGAGCACAGAAAAAAATCGTTTTGGAATATCAAGGGTAGAAAATGTTACTTTTTGAAAACTGAACTTCAATATATTGGCAGAGGGCACAAACTCCTTAGGCACAGCTGGTTTAATCACAGTGAAAGAAGTGCTGAGAGAATCATAAGTTAAAAATCACAACTCCCCCCCCAGGCTCTGCAACTGGAGTTGTGGGGAGGCTGGTAGCCTACAGAAGCCTACTCCTGTCATTTCAGGAACTGCACATTTTGGAGGACGGAACAGTTCTTGAAATCCGAAGACTTACTTAATAGGCATAATAACCCTATAGTTAAAGCACTGCCACGGCAAAGGACCATCTTTAAAGCACTGCCGCGGCAACGCTTTAACATCGTTGCCCCTTTTGCCTCCCCCTCTCCCCCCGGCCGCCAATGGTGGGGCAAAGGGAGCAGCTGCTCCGGGGCCAGCGATTTAAAAGAGCCCGAGGCTCCGGCTGCCGCTGCCTCAGGTCCTTTAAATCACCGCTGGAGACCTGGGCGATTATTCCAAGCTGCCAGTGGGAAACCAGGTGTGTATGCCACCAGGTGAAAGTAACTCCATAAGGCTGAAGTCTTTTACTCAGTCCCAGCTGCCAGCCAGGAGCTCCCTCTTGCTCCCCCAGATCTTGCCAGCAACTGAACTGTTTGTGGTCCTGCCGTTCCTGCAATCAGCCAGGAACACAGCCCTCATGCCTCCAGCTCCAGGCAGCAACTGACTGTCTCTTGTACGCCAACTTCTTTTATATATGGCCTTGGTGGGCCCTGATTGGCTGCTTACCTGCAGCCTCTCTCCAATTAGCTGCATCCCCCACAGCCCCTTTAGGCAGACTGGAAGACTTCTCTACTGCTCCTTTCTGGGACAGGGTGTGGTAGGACCCTGAGGCCTCCAGCCGAGGGCCTCTGGACCTAATACACTCTTTCACAGAGACACTGAAGGACCTCAATCAAAAAGAAGACTGAAAGGCAACTTGACATAAAATACCTGGTACTTAATCTTGCACTCCCCCCCCCACCAAAAAAAAAAAAAAAAAAAAGCATATAAAGAACCAAGAGTTGGAAGTTAAAGATAAAATTAAATTAGAAACAAAGCATAACTTTTTAATGGAGGGTGATTAACCACTGGAAAAAACTAAAATGGGAAATTATGGTTTCTCCATCTCTTGATATCTTCAAATCAAGACTGGATGTTTTTCTTGATTATATCCTTTAGTCATACACACATTACTGGGATCAATACAGGGGTCACTGGATGAAGTTATATAGTCTGTGTTATTTAGAAATCAGGCTAGATGATCTCATTGTCCCAAGTCTGAAGATCACTGCTCAGTGCTTTGAATTAAGGAGATTTTGAAAACTGGCTCTATCCAGAAAGTTCACAATTTATTTGGACTAGCCAAAGAGGTATCAGATTTTTTTTAAATGATGAATAAATTATTTTAAGATTCAAAACACTTAAGGCAGAATTCATTCCATTGCCTAGAGCCTTGTATTTGCCCTCTCTGCACTGAAATTAATTTCACCCCCGTTGAAAAGTGTAGGATTTAAAGTTACAACTAAGTTCTCTTTAAAGCATTTGATAGACATCCCATTTACAGTATGTTCCTTGACATGATTCCAATCCTGCAACATTTGAAGTTAATGGTACTAATTCATGTGGGTGAGGACTGCTTGCATAAATGAAGGGTTTGCATGATCAGGCCCCATGTTCACACAGCACTGAACATACTGGTCACTTCCTAATTTAAGCCTTGATTCATCGAGGTACTAATCATGTGCCTAACTTTACACATGCGACTAGTCTCATTGACTTCAACTTACAGACATTTAGGCACTTAACTACTTTGCTGAATTATGGCCTTACTTACCAGTACATACCAAAGCCAATGCTCAGGGTTGTGTTTGATTTAATCTGCTATCAGGACAACAGCAATACCCAAAGCTATGGTGATTCCTATTTTGTGTGTTTATAATGTCAGCTATTATAGGGAAAAATGACTTAACCCTTGATCTCAGGTCTTAGCAGCCTAAAACTTTTCAATCCACATTTAAACAGTGAACATTTCATGATGCTATAAAAAAAAAAATCGCTGTTTCTCAAATTAAAGAGACAGTTAACGTCCTGTTTGCACAGACAGGACTTTCATATAAATCACATCCAGGGTTACACAATAACCAGTCACTGCTGCTCCATGCACAAGTCAAAATCAAGACTTTGAGTTTGTAACACTGTCCTCATGGTGTCTTCTCCAAATACTCCAAGTATTTTGTGAACTTCTCATTAGCTCGCATACAGTTTAACAGGTTCTAGTTTTCTTGTGTCCACCTTTTAGATACAAAAAGGAGTATGTCTGTGCTGTAAAGTCCCACCTTCCAGGTAGCAAGTGAAAGTAAACCAGTTTCTTTAAAACATAATTAAAATGGCCCTCTTCTACCACGTTTACTCTTGAGGTGGCTTGCTGAACGCCTGATATTTTTCCTCTCCTGATGATGTTGCTTCTCAGCTTCCTGCTGTTTCTTCTGCTGCCCTGACTGGAATATTTACAAAACAGACGAGTTAGAATTCCAGCTGGCCCGCAAAAATGGTACAACATTAACAAAGTCAGGGCAGTTCCTGAGCTACATGTAGTAAAAACTGCACAATTCTAGACATAAACACGAAAAGGAACAAGATAATTTATGTGTAATATTTACAGTTTACAAAAACTTTCCCCATTAAACTGTCAAGCACTCAGGTACCACAGAAATGATGTTTTTTATTTTATCTACATTGCATGAATTTGTGTAAAACTAAGGTTCTTATACATGCATCCATCATGTTATTTGAGCATAAAAAGCTATGTTTCCAGCAGAGAATTCTAATGGTAAAAATATTACCATTAAGGTGATGTTATAGCAGTTTGTTTAGCACGATAGCTTTAGGTTCTAGCACTGCAGCTTTAAAATGCAGTGTATTTTAGAGGCACACAGTTTAATGTAATGATTAAAAAAAAATCTTCAGTCCTTTTGTTCTCCAAATCTTCTGCCTCTCTAGTTTGAACTCAAAATTATTTACATTCCAAACATACATAAGATTTTTACTTTGTGCTTTCCTGACGTCACCTCTACTTCAGAATGGAGACACACGGTTTACAGTTCATTGCAGGCTTCCATGTGTTCTATTCCACCTACTCATGTTCAAGCCCAGAAGAATTTGTTCCTCTGTTGGCTAAAGATGGCTAACACACACTTTACACACGAGTATTTCAAAAGACAATAAGAGAAACTCCCAGGAAACAAAGGTTTTTGTTTTGTTTTGTATTTTTAAACTTGTATCATGTTACACAATAGCTCTGCTATTGATTACATTACTAGGCATGTTTTTACAAAAAAATTGATTAAATTTCTGTACCAACATGGCATGTTTCTGTGCTTTGTTGATAATGTTATTCCTCCTTCTCATTTATCATTGACTACAAATACTAGCTCAACAAAACCTTAAAAGCACACTGTACGTTTCAGGACAAACAGGAACAAGGCAGGTACGTAGTTACCCAGTGCAAATTAAACTGCCTCTCTACAAATCATATCTGTAACTTCAGGAAATTCAAGTATTACTTTATAAGACAAGAAACTATAGTAGAGCTTCACTAGTCAGCACTTTTGTAGGGCCAGCCCAAGAACTGACTGGAAAACGTGGTAATGGGCAGAGAGGCCAGCATGCACATTCTCCATGGGCCAGTGGGGGAGCACTGCATAACCCCATGCCCCAAAGACTCACGCAAGCCAGAACAGGGATGGGTTATACGGTGGTGACAATTTCTCTTCCACCCACATTGGAAGGAGGCAGAGGCACGAGCACCACCTCACCTGTTTTGTATTTTAGCAATAAACTGCAATCCTGGAAATTCACTAGAGTGTGAATTCACAGTGTTAAATGAAATGTTTTCCCTTTAGAGCACAAAATACATATCACCACCAATAAGTCATGGAAATACACAAAAGGGGGGGGGGGAGAGAAATCACATTAATAGGGAAATAAAACCAAAGCAAACCTAATAGTTATGCATACAGAATATTTATGCCCTGCTTCTGCAATCTGATTAATATGAGTGGACTCTCATGATCCACCTGAGAGCAGGAATCTGCCCACTGGGCTCACACTGCAAAATCAGGGCCTTTGTCTGGAAGCTGTTCAAAGCACTGAAGTATCTTTTCTGTGTGCTGTAAAATGACTAGTATACTTTAGATGCGATAAGATTATTTATATCTGTCAAACCCTAAATAACATGGAAAATAAATCAAGAAGCTTGAATTATTTTTATTCAGATTCTGTCAGGAATGCAATGCAATACAGGAGGGACACTATACTAACCACTGTATTAATATTATTGTATTAATCAATCTGTCTCATACTCAGACTCATAGATAACGTCAGCAGGGACCACACTGTGATCATTTAGTCTGACCTCCTTTATAACACAGGCCAGAGGCTTTACCCGAAATAATTCCTGTTTTGAACTGGAGTATATCTTTTAGAAAAAGATCTAATATTGATTTTAAAATTGCCAGTGACAGAGAATCCACCATGACCCTTGGTAAGTGGTTCCAATGGTTAAATATGTGTGCCCTATTTCTAGTCTGAATTTGTCTAGATTTGGCTTCTAGCCAGTAGACCTTTGTCTGCTACAGCGAAGAGCCAATTATTGGAGATGCAGAAAGAACTAGTTTCTATATTCATTAAATCAATACATGCCATTTTGCTTTTTAGCACTTTTTTGAATGTATATGAACCAGTTAATTCAGAAGTTTATTCCTTCCAGTTATGTATCTTTAGTTTCATAGATATTTTTATGAGCGTATCAAGAACTTACTTACTACACCACTCAGCATTTTGGTACATTAGCAACATTTTACACTAACAAGCAAAAAAAAGTAATACAATTTGATTGCTGAAAGGCACACAAAGCATGGGATGAGTATTATTAACTGATCAATTTAATCCAAAAAGATTTTCCTTAAAAAAAAAAAAAAAAAGTTACTAAGGGTATGTCTACACTGCAATTAAAAACCAGTGGCTGGCTCATGGCAGCTGATTCGGGCTACGGGGATCAGGCTAAGGGGCTGTTTAATTGCAGTGTAGACATTCGGGCTTTGGCGGGAGCCGGGCTTGAGGACCCTGCGAGGTGGGAGGGTCCCAGAGCTTGGGCAACAGCCTGAGCCCAAACATCCACACTGCAATTAAACAGCCCCTTAAACTGAGCCCAAGTCAACTGGCATGGGCCAGCCACTGCTTTTTAACTGCAGTGTCAACATACCCTGAGATTCCCCTCGCTTTAACTGTTCAGCTACCTCCATTTTGACTAATTTAATAGACGGCTTTATAACATGTGCTAGCTCTCCTAAAACAAATTATAATTGTTTTTAAATAACTTGCAATGACTGTTCTTGCATTTTAAATATTTTTTCCTGGAGAGCATCTGAATACCCCATAAAACCCTTGTTAATACATTTCTTGGTTCAAGAAACTCTCCTAAGTACCTTAAATCTCCACACAGTATTTCTTTGCAACACTTACTATACTGCCAAAAGTTATTGCTTTTTGGACTTTTAAATTTATCCGCTGTTCTTACCCTATAAGCAGATATCAAACTTGCTATGTGATAGCATAAAAAGGGGTTTCCTACCATTGTCCAGAATGCATTCTAAAGTACTCTTTAGAAAATAAAGTTGCATTGATTTAAGCATTAGCTTGTTAATATGGAACTGACTTGAATCATGCTTTTCTCTTTTGATGACCAGACTTTGCTTCCACACAGTCCCTTTCACATCTTTATCCAGCACATTAGAAATGCTACTTTACCGATTAAGTCAAATGTCACTTGTTATGAAGGACATTAGAAGGCCAGCGCTGAAGAAAACCCTGTGTAAGTTGATTCAGTAAAAGATATTATCTCAACTACTGTGTGTCTCCCCTCTCTCTCCAATATCCTAGGACAACACAGCTACAACAGCACTGCAAACAATTGGAATTGAAAGGCACTGGACAATATTGTGGACCCCTCAGTAAAAACAATGGAAAAAGACAGACCATCTAGGAAATACCAGGAGATAAACTTTGTAACGTTAACAATGATCAATTCCTTTGAGGGGGAAGTTGGGATTTGGAGGGAAGCAGATACCACAGAGCCACTCAGGTACCAAAACCTGTTCAACCTCCAAACTACATTGATCCACAAGAACTAAAAATACAAACCCATGGAGGATAGATAAGAAGACACAAAATATCATGACATTCAATAAATCCATGGTATGCCCACACCTTGAATACTGCATGCAGTTCTGGTTGCCACATCTCAAAAAAGATATATTAGAATTGGAAAAGGCACAGAGAAGGGCAACAAAAATTATTAGAGGGACAGAACAACTTCCATCTGAGGAGTGATTAAAAGGATTGGGAGTGTTCAGCTTGGAAAAGAGATGACCTAAGTGGGGCTATGATAGAGGTTATAAAATCATGAATGATGTGGAGAAAGTGAATAAGGAAGTGTTATTTACCCCATCACATAACACAAGGACCAAGGGTCAACCAATAAAATTAATAGGCAGCAGATTGAAAAACAAAACAAAACAAAAACAAAAAACAAAGGGAAGTACTAATTCACGCAATGCACAGTCAACCTGTCGAACTCATTGCCAACGGGTGTTGTGCAGGCCAAAAGTATAAATGGGTTAAAAAAAGAATTAACGAAGTTCATGGAGGATAGGTCCATCAATGGCTATTAGTCAAGATAGTTGCTCTGGGTGTCCTAAGCCTTTAATTGCCAGAACCTGAAAGTGGACAACGGGGATGATCACTCAATAGTTCCCTGTTCTCTTCATTACCTCTGAAGCATGTGGCATTGGCCACTGTTGGAAGACAGGATACTGGGCCACATGGACCATTGGTCTGACCCAGTACAGCTGTTCTTATGAAGGCTATGTATTAATTTTATGCCCTCTTCCAAAAGGGCATGATATCGGTGTCTAAACCTTGGAGATGGGACAATGAAAGGCAGGAGTTAATGATGGTCCTAGCAGTGTTAAACTCCCTCTAGGCTTGCCAACTGCATTCTCTTCATCTTTTGAAAAGATCATATCATATGACATGGCTCCTTTCCAGCCCTACTTTTCATCTGCTCCCATGGACTACAGTGGGATTGGCTCAGGGAAGGGGGGATTTTCCATCCCATTTTACTTTTCTTCATCTCTCTTCTCCCCACTTCACAGAGAGGACACTGGGGGCCCACATTCACTGAACTATGTGTCATATTTACTTTTAACTAGGCCTTCTTACCATTATAAATTGTGTACATTTCTATATTCAATAAAGCACCCACACTGAGAAGAACTTTTAAATGGAGTCACTTGCAACAGAATTGTAACAAAGTAATATACTGATTCTGCTGGGATCAAATCCAGAATGGCATTTCCAACTATTCCCAAATCTTCCCCTCCCCCAAAAATCTTTATGGAAGCTGATCTTTCTTTTGTTCCCCATCATCAATTGTAGGAAGCATTCTGTCTCATCATTTTCTAATATAAAGCTACTATAAAGAGGGTATACATGGGAAGCCCTGCAACGCTCATTTAATTAGCTGTAAGGAGTTACACCTGCTGGTAATGCTCCTGAAATGGTGATCCTTTCCAGAGCTTCACTGGAATCTGTGACTTATTCCAAAGTCCACACATTTTAAATTCCAAAGTGGATACAGAGAAATGTTGATGAGAAACGCGTGTGAAAAATTGGTGATAGGAAGTACAATAAGAAATTCCAGTGACTTTGGTTTACTTAACCTTTTGTGTCCCAATTATCCAAAGTGGCACATTCTAATAACTACTTCAGACATTCTGACCACACTATTGTAGTTTTACTTCCATGATGAGAGTTAATTGACAGGTGCTGAACACAAATGGATGATGATGAACAACTTGCCCAGAGGAAGACCAGTTTTAACTGAAACAGATTTCACCAGCTGAAGAATCAACTAATATGAATCTTTATCTTTCACCATCTCCGACCATGTTTTACATGTGCATCACTTTTCCACCCAGAGATCCCAAAGTGGTTTACAGAATATGTAAACACATACGCAATCAATTTCCCTCCTCCTTGCCTCCTCCCCATCCCCCCAAATGCAATCACCTGGAGGGTGAAACAGCTTTTTAGAAACTACACAACTGTTTCCGGAAAGAAATTACGAAAACACCATCCAGTTGAAATTGCTTGGGAAAGTTAGGTGGGAAGAATGCAGTTACTCACTCAAATTGTAATTTGGCAAGTACATTGGAACTACATTTCTTATTCTTGTCAATAGTGCCATGGAACTTCAGTGATCAAAGTCGTCGGAAGTTCTGTTTTATCAATATGAGACACTCCCATCACTAACGACTCAGGGGGAAGACTCTCACCTACAGGACATCATCACCACTTCTTTCAGCATCCTGGGTATTTTTTGCCTATCAATCAAGTACTGATCAAACACAATACTGTGAGAATTGACAAGGTGCTAGCATTGGATGATATAGCTACAGATGATCTACTAAGAGAGGGAACTAGTGTTTCCCACCACGATATGAGTCTGGTGGGGCTGCCCACACACACACGGGTGTGCAAAAAAGTAAAGGTGCAGTCAATTTATGAAGAAATCAAGAAGCACATCTGTTTTGGATGGATTTGGGCTCCCTGTTTTTTCAGATGACAAATTTATCATCCTGTGCATTATCTTATTTACAGAAGATATTTTTTAACTCACCTTTTTTAATTTGAATGTCATCTGTTTACTGCCTACTGTGGTATCAGATACACTAAGTGTGCCAAGCTTTTCTTCAAGCTTCAAACGATCTCCAAGAGTTTTTCTGCAGAGAACAATTAAAGAAAAGCCTGTTTCTATTCTTGTCACATCACATTGTATCATCAGTCTTTACAATAGCAAACAGAAGAAATCACAAACTCTACAAAACAGTCAAATCCTATAACGTGCAAAAAAATTGCAATTGGGTTGTACTTCTGTCATTCTGCACCCCATTATTAAGCAACATACATGCAGCCAACACATATGAAAAGCAAGTTTCAGTTATTCCCTTCAAGCATTGCTCATTGTACAGCCGTTTTTCAACTTCTGACAGATTTTTTTAATTTTTAAATTCAGGCCTTAGTTCAGACACAAACCAGACCCAATTAGTCCATGCCATTCCCACTGAACCAACATGTGCTATGACAACAGTTTTCTATGGAATATCTGCAGGTGCCAAGTAATTCAGTTGCAGTAGATATTCTAGTGTATTGATCTTAAATAAAATGTAAGACAGGCATTTTAAAGCAAAATGCACCCATTTTGCTTAGCAACCTTAGTTTCTAAAGCCAAAAATACTTTCTACCTTCTACTTCTACGAACATTTATTTTGATTTTTCCCCCCATTATAATAGGCATTTCTGACTCCCTTATTTGTAGCAGCTACCTGAGCTGATTAAAATAACACTGGCGGTATGGGAGCCCAATGTAAGTGATTCTAAAAGTTTCATCCTACTATCAGGAGAAAATATTCTATACCTATCATAGGTTTAGATTTAAAAATTTAAAAATAGAGTCAAACCTCATGATTCTGCACTAATGAATGGAAGACCTTTGTGAATGACTGAATTTTTCTGAATTAGCAAGACAGACCCTGATTCCATATGGAGCTCTATGTGGACAGACCCCTTCTCCCACTGAAACAGAGTCTAAACTCTTTGGGGGAGGGACTGTGTCTGTTAGGTGTTTGCACAGTCCCTAGCACAATGCGGCCTTGATCCATGATTGGGGCCCTATGTAGTACAGTACTGTAATACTAACTGCAAATAGGACAGGGCCTAAATGACCAATCAATAAGGAAGATTAAACTTTATTATGCAATATACATCATTTAGTCTGACAATTGTAGTTTACTTTTAAACTACATTTAAAGCATTCATTATAAATGAAGTATACTTCATTCATTCATAACTGTAATGAAGTCTTAGAAATCCACAATCTCACTATTAGATCTTTGTTGAGATGGGGAGAGAGACTGCCTTTTTTGTGCAAATTATCAGCAAGGTACTGATGTATATATTTCACAGATTACTTTTATGAAGGGAAAAAACAAAACAGACAGACAAATGGCTGAAAGACTGGGCCCTCAGTATGGAGCCAGGGGAGTTTGCAGGATGTTGGTTAAAAAATAATTTATGTATATGAAAGGCTTTTTCATATGAACTATACAAAATTACTGTCAAGAATTGCTTTCCCCCCATGACTAGCTATTTTGACTCTGGTTTTTCTCCAGTATATTTTTCAGTGAGAACTTGTAAAAACTTGTTCCATCTGTGCTATTTGAGAAGACAAGCTAAGCCTCAGAGCTAACTATGGCAGGAGATCAGTCACTGACAGTGTAGCGGGATTTCTACTTTAAACTGAAGTTCACTTTTCTCCCCTTTGAAAGTGAATGAGAGAAATGTGGCTACTACCCAGCAATTCTTTAGCATGACTGCTTGGATGGTGCTTCAGTCAGAGGAAAATTAATGTGCGGGAGATAGTAGGAAAATGCTATAGGATAATAGCTTTATTCTATAAATAAGGTGGTGCATATATGTATCTGTGTGGTATGCACTCACAAAAATATTGCTTAAACATCTATGTTGTGACATACAACTACTCCATACATAGCGAAGGGGAAGGAAACATACTTTTTATCTCCTCCAAAAACATGGCCCAACGGGTACACTAAGATTGCTGTTCAATTATTATTTATTATTTGTATTACCATAGCACGTAGGAGTCCCAGCCAAGGACTCCTGCTAGGCTTTGTACAAAGACAGAAAAAGATGACAGATCGTAAGCTCTTTGGGGCAGAAACAAAGTGTAAGACAGGAATCAACAGATGGATACAGACAGACAGGGGAGCACAAGGAAACAATGGTCAGCATAATAGGCTGATCTCAGCACACCAGCGGCTTAATAGTTGTGGAGTTTTTGCAGGCATCAGAGCAGAGGAGTTTTAAGGAGGTGCAACATGTGAGAAGACACAAAGGGGATTATCTGAAATTTTAATAAGTGGATGATGGAGGCTGACATGTTGACAGAGAATGAAAGATAGGGTTGCAATAGATTGGGAAGGGTTTGAAAGTGAAGACAAGCAACTTATATTTGATGCAGAGAGATTGGAAGACATGGTCAAAGCACTGTGGTAGGAAAATGGTCTTTGCAGCAGCATTCTCAATGGATATGAGCAGGGCACGACTGCATTTGTCAAGACCAGAGAAAAGGATGTCACTGTAATCAAGACATGATATGATGATAGTCTGGACGAGAGTCTTAGCTATAGGAGACGGATATGAAAGGTTGTATCTTAAGAGATATTACACAGAAAGAGTCTGAAAGATTTGGACATAGAGAGAGGTCTATGTCTTCACGCGCAGGCTGAATTGAAGATGACACCCTGGTTGTGGGTCTGAGCGACAGGCAGGATGTTCGTGTTGTCCAGTGTGACCAATAAAGGCAGTAGCAGGGAGGGTTTTGGTTGTTTTGCTTTGATTAGTTTTGGAGGGAAAGGAAAGGGGAAAATTAAGAGCTCTTTTAGCCATGTTGAAATTGAGCTAATGGCTGGACATCTATGAGGAGATGTCAGAAAGACTGGCCAAGATTTTAATTTGGACAGGAGACATGCCTGGAGTAGATAGATAGATCTGTGAAGCTGTCAGCACAGAGATGGTATTTGAATTTGTTTGCAAATAAAGTACCCAGAGATAAGGTGTAGAGGGAGAAGAGAAGGGGACCACAGACAGAGTCCTGTGAAATCCTCACAAAAAGTTGGAGTGGGGATAAGGAGAATCCTCTGAAGGAGTGATGAGCGGTAGGATGTGAAGCAGGAGAGTGTGTCATGGAACCAAAGAAGAATTTCAAGAAGAACATGGTCAACAGTGTCAAACATGGCTGACAAGTCAAAGTAGAATGAGGATGGAGTACTGGTTCTGAGCTCAGTCTGCTCGCTACGTAAATGTCATTAGAGACTACTCTTAAGGACTTTGCTGCATTTAAGAATATGCTTCAGAATGCTCCTGTCCTGAGAATCCTTGAATTTATGAAGAAATTTTTAAGTGTACACCAATTCTTCAGAAGTTGGGCTTGGAGCAGCGCTGAGTCAGGAACTTGACAAAGAAACACCCAGTTTTATATAAGTCATAAACTGTTTCCCCAGGAACATTATACAACTATAGAAAAAACGCTTTGCCATTAAGTGGGTAGTGGAGGCATTAAGGTACTTAATTATGTTGGTCACAGACCATCATTCTTTAAATTGGTTAAATCAAATCAAAGACAAACATGCCAGAATCACCAGATGGTACATGCCACTACAATCTTTCCAATTTTCAGTACATTGCTTAAGGAGTCAGGATAAAAGTGCTGAGCATTTATCATTCTATAGGGCCAGTAGACTTCTCTTTAGGGCTAGTCTTCTTTACAAAATTCTACCATGTGCAAACATGGTTCTAAATAATAAAGCTAGCTGACACTATGATGATTGTGCCTTTATGATAAGCAGAGACCAGGACAAATCATGCTTTGCATCAGATCAGCTATATGGTATTATAAACTGACAGCAGCTGATAATTTAAGGTTTTGGAAGAGTTTGGGGAGTACCCCATGTGCAATCTGAATGCTTCTTGACTGAGTGTAAATGGGATCACTCTTCACAGAATTCGTAATTTAAACATTTTCTTCCGCGGAGAAAGAATTTCACGTGACATGACAACAGCAGTTCACTGAAAAAGGAAAAGGATGCGATGTGCACTCCAGTCCACTTCACTTGTTTAATTATCCTATTTCTTCTTCATTTCATTTGCTATCACGTCACTATGTCTTATTTGTGTTTTGCCTAAGCCCCACATGGTGGAATCATGTCTTGTTTTACGTTTGTAAAACGTCATGCCCACTGGTAGTACAATAGGCACTTTTTCCAAACGGCAGTGTTTTTAAAGTCTACTCAGTTTGTCATCACTGGTACTCCTTTATCCCATGAAGAGATCTACAGTATTTGCTCCTCGACAATTTTCTCCTCTACAACAGAAAACAAATATACCCACATGCACACAGACACACACCCAACCACCCATCCACACAGAAGATTCTTTACTCTACTTAATTTCCACAGTAATTTCTTTCCTGCTGTGTTGCACTGTACTAATTTCTTCTGAACTTTTAAGTCTTATCTAGAGCTGACTTTAGCTTGTTAACTGAATCTTTCAGTCTGCTTGCTTACAGTTAAGGTTCCCATCTGTTTGTGATTGCTCCTCAGTCATTTCATTTAAGATCAAGGAAGCATCTGAAAGTTTCTTTCAGTGGGACAGAACACCTTAATCAGAGGTCATTGCGTGCACTTACAAAACAGTAGGTTGGCAATAGTGAAACGTGCTTCCATTTCTGCCCCTGTTGCAATGGAAATCAGAGCACATGCCACCTGATCACAATTTGTTCTCCTTTTCAGATCATTGGCTGAAGTAGCAAAACAAAGATGCACACAATCCACTCCCCTCTGACAGAGCACCCGGTGACCTTACACTACAATCTGTATGCCTCTGGAAAACTCAAAAGGGCACAAAAGCAGCCCCATCCCCTGGAATGAAAAGAAGGAAAACAGCCAGGAGCAAGTAAACTGAAAACTTAATACGTAAGCTGAAGAAGATTCTAGATAAGGAGTTGAAGCATCCAGAACATGTACGCTGAATAAAGATATGAACACAAACCTGCTGTGTGTAAAATTTGCTAATAAAAAGTGAGCAGGGAAAATGCGAGCAAACCTGCAGAACAGACAAAGGTTAAAGTACTAATCTCAATTAGGATTTATAATATGGTGCCCAAGATGTGTATGTCACTTTACAGACAGAACATGTAGATTGTTGGTCTCTTCCCAAGGTTCTTTAACCTGGCCTCCAAGTGCATAGATTTTTGAGCACTGGCCTCTTCACACATGTTGATAACATTTACGAGCAAAGAACCCCCCCACATGCATATGAACTGCAGAGTTTTTATGATGCTGTGTGTTTGTTTTAGATAGCACTCCATAAGAAAATTGTTTCTTGTATTGTTTTCTATCTTAGGGATTTCTATAGTGCTTATAGTAGAACCCAAAGGTTGATATTACAGAACCAATTTTATAGTTTAAAAAAAAACAAAAACAAAAAAACAGGTCCTAGAGGTTTTGGGTTCAGTGTTTCCTTTCAATGCACATCACTGTGTTACTTAACTATTTCTAAAATGCCCATCAACATGCAGCTGAGTGACAAAATGGTACCTTGACAAATCTGCCCAATCTGAACAGTAGCAAAATGATCATCAGACATTAGGATGGATGCATTTGTTCACTATTTGTGTAGGAAATGTTTTGGCATGTATAATCGCCCTCTTGTTATAGCATTCATTCTAGTCAGAGCTATGCTGAGCACTTGGCATGCTGTGACATATCTATCTCAGCAGCTGCTGTCTTTCAAGGCTTCTTAATTAGTTTCAGCACAGCTCTCCAATTAATAAAATTGTAATAAAAGTCTGATTTTTTGAAATGCTGCGGATATCTAAGTGAGGTCAATGAGAATGTGTGGCACTAAACACCTGGAAAATCAGGACACTTTCTGTCATCTCTAAAGGACAGAAATGCTCTAGATACAGAATCCTACTGCTTTAGCTAACAGCTGAGTTAAAGGATACAAACAAAATTGTATTTAACACGTCTCCTGTCATGAGGCAAGGAAGGAGGAAAAAAAAAACAAGGAGGCAGCTTAGTGGGTTATAGATAGTTGCAAATAAGCCATAAATCCAGTGTCTCTATTCAGTCCATGATTTTTAATGTCTCCTTTCACCCCTATGACTAGAAAAGTGTCAACTGGCCACTTCGCCTTGAATGCTCCCTTAAAATGTGTGCTTACCTGCCCCCCACTGGGGGCTGCCCTGGGCCCCGCCCACCTCCCCCACCAAATATTCCTCCAAGTCCCCTAGGGGAGTGCAACCCACTATGCTAAACAACCTGTTCCAACTTGTGTTTAGCTGTGACACTCTCAGTCCTTTCCCCAGGCCTGAAGAAGAGCTCTGTATCAGCTCAAAAGCTTGTCTCACTAACAGAGGTTGTTCCAATAAAAGATACTGCATCTCCCACCTGGTCTCTCTAATATTCTGGAACCAACAAGGCTAGAACAACACTATATACAAACAAAATATGAAACTCAGACAAAATATTTAACCATGGCTTTTAGCACTGCAAGGAGAAAGCCTGGAGACTAGAACTCTGACAACTAAAATAGATTATTTTTTATAGAATCCAGACATTTTGGACCTATCTAGGTCAAAACATGTTTTTACTGTCCCTGCCCAGCAAAGAGAGGTTTACTTTGTAAGCACGGAGAAATCATGGGGTACTCTATGTTTTCTAATGGGAAGAGATCACACAGGGTGAAATTGTAAGCCCCTTTATTCACACTGGTGAACTGATACTCACATGAAGTAGTCCCACTAACATCAATGGGACTATCTATATGAGAAACTTCTCACCAGTGTGGGGTAAGGGCCTCCCAATCTAGTTCAAAGTATCCAACCCTTACTCTTTTCCCTTAAAGTAAGGCACAGGGAATACACATACCACATTCACATAACAAGGGAATAAGAGATGAAATGAGTGTCACTTCAAATTATGCCCCCTCATTACAAAAGTCTAGCTGTAGAAACTGATTCCAGGACCATTGTGCCTGCTAAATAAAATAACCTGGGCCCCCATAACAAAAAGACAGTCGCGAACAAGCCAACCAAACGTCATTAAACTGAAGTGTTAGTCTTACTTCATTAACTTTTGCTTTTTGGCAGAGTCCTTGAAGCTTCTGAATTCCTCCCCTGTTTTAAGCTCAAGGAATTGGGGTTTCAACGTTGTTTGCTGACCTTCCTTGAACCTTTCCTGCCGTTTTACTTTTTCCTCTTGGCGTAGAAGTTTGCGCTGTTTCCTGACCTCTTCAACCCAGCCTCTCTCATCATCTGAAGTCTCAGAACTTTCTGCATCACTTGGTTTCCCTTCTGGCTCTTCCTCCTCTTCCTGCAGACAAAAATAGTTACTCTAAGGAACCATTAACTGATTCTTTTAAAAACTATTTGCCCAATTAGAGTACGTGACAATCTCTACATATGTCCAATTTGAAGAAAACTAGAATTCTAATACATTAACCAAATACAGCATGCAGAGTGAATGCTAATTACATTCACAGACACACTATGTGATAGATATAACAATAAATTAGTATATTTAGACATTAATATTAATTTAATATTAAGTTACGTATATAAATCTTAATCACACTCATTTATAGACAGATTGATAATTTTCCATTGTTTTCTTCACCTTTCTAAGGTCCATAAAAGAAAAGCCTGAATGCTTGTAATAAAAAACAAAGAACTAGAAGTAATCCTAACCTAGAAGGAAAAAGTTTTACCTGCTCTTGTGCTTCTTGCTGTTCTAAAATCTTTAGTTTCTTCTTTCTTTTCTCACTTATTTTAGAAACGAGTGGATTAAGCAGCCTAAATTCTTCACTCTTCTCATCCACCTGGAAATCTGGGTTCTCAAACATGACTTTGAACCGGTCATCAGTGAGAATGTTAGGCAGATTCTACAATGGAGAAGAAAAACAACAGTTACAAAATTTTGAAACAAATGCTGGTACAATGATTTAAAACGTAAAGCTCATTCAATTACTACTCAGGTTTAATTAAGCAAGAAAAGACAACTGGATATAGGTATTGATTGCTTGGTTCTCCCAGACCATTTACATCAAGATCTATTCAATTTATCTATAGTATGGTTTTACTATTTTCATATAAATCACAAAAACTATTCTGACACATCTGTTAACAATACATATTCTGCTATTCAAACTATAGGAACCTCAGGTCCAGTGTTTTATATTTCAAGGTAAGTGTCTATTAGAGCTGGTCAAAACTCCAACTTTCCAGTTCATGGGAAATTCTGACTTTTAAAATTTGAAATTTCTTTTTGGCACGATAATTTCATTTGGGAATTTCAAATATTTATTTTAGAATTTATTTTATGTTTTTTCTTCATTTTTACATTATGTTATGACATGTCATTATGCACTACTACTGCTGAGATGACAAAATAGTTAAAAAAATAGTCTATTTTTATTTTTGAAATCATTAAGGACAGGTGCTTAGTACTGAGACAGGATATCTCCTTTTCTAGATCTAAGAGTCCTCTGTGTCCTAATGAAACCGTTTGACACAAAAAAAATGTTTCCATGAAACCAACTCTAGCATCGATAATGTGTTGAATATATGTGAACTTGGACATTCCTCTGCATCCGTTAGCTAATCAGCCATGTTTACAGGTGGAGAAAACTGCTTGACTAGGACGGTTCCATCACATATGAAACACTATTCCTCAGAGATGCATTTCCATTCATATTTTATAAGACTGCTTTAGTATCAAAAATATTTACAACTCTCCCCCCACAATGGTTCTATGCATCCTTTCTCCCTCCCCCCCACCAACCAATCCCAAACATAGCAAGGAAAGAGACAATTTTGTCTGTCTCATTAAAGGGCCTAATTCTGCAACACTGGAGCCAATGGTAGTTTTGCCACTGACTTTACTGGACCCAGGATCAGGCATAAGGAATTTATAATTTCAACTAGTATTAATATGCTTCATATTAAAGATTTCCTCAAGACTTTTTTCCTTTAATTAAAAAAAAAAAAACACCCTTTTGCCTGATGCAGCTGCAAAATTTCTACCAGGAGGGCTCTCTCTGGTCCAACTATTTGTTTTCACAGCTGCTTAGAAAGGAAAAAACATAAAAGGGGATAGGTTTAAATTAGAGAAGCTTAGTATCTACAAATGTCTGGCTAATGGTCTAATCTAAAAATAAACAGCAGAACAAACAAAAACTAAATCACCTGTCCTTGGTAAAATCCTTAATATTGTTTCAGGGAAATATTCAGAACCTGTATTTTTATATGGCATTTTATTTCTACTTTAATGCACAGTGTATAATATATATCTCCAAACAAATATACTATGAAAGTAAAAGCTGAGACTTTTGATAGATGCTCAGAAAGTTTGCAGTGAAGACTCCACCACCATCATCTACCTCTTCACCCCTTTCTCTCTTCCTACCATCCCACTTGCCAGCCAGAAACTCTCACCTGATCAGACACCACATGAACCGTATGTTTTTTCTGCTAACTATATGAATTCCAGTGCTCTTCTGTTGTAGCTCAGTCACCCTTCTCATCTATATAAAGTAAAGGGAGTCTCTGCTGCATACCAGGAGGGTGTCAGGGCAGATTTTATATGGCCCATGTTGGAAAGAGCCATCAAAAGGTGTTAAACAGCTCCACCATTGGTTTGCAATATGCTATTTTTCTCTTCCACCAGATACTAAACATTTGTTCAGACCTGCCTGTATCTAAAACATATGGCATTTTCAATATCAATTGTACAAGAGTTACTGTTGCATCAGAGTGAACAAAGTACAATATTTACACTGTTCGCTCTTTGGGACAAGAACTGTCACATCCTATAATATGGACAATGCCTCGCACATTGTAGGCGAGACAGAGAGAGAGAGAGAGAGAGAGAAGTAAGAAGGTAGATAGGTTTATTTCTTTGGATACTCTACTAATCAAAAGTTAGAGTGTTTTTGGACTCTCCATCCCACCTCATCTCCACAGCAAGTGCTTCCCCATTATAGGTTTGTTATACAATTGGCCAGATGTTATCACACTGTATTCCTGATTCCCTAGCACTGATGAATTCCACTGGAAAGCCACCTATTTAGAAGATTCAGTGTATGATCATCTAAAAAACAAAGGAACACTGACCTACGAATCTGCCTAACCATTTATAATAATGAACACAAGAACAATTTATTATCCTGGTGCTTCTGTAGCGTTTTGGACACCTCCTACATAAAGTCTTACCTTTTGTTTCTTTTTTCTAGTAGGCTGCTGTTCCTCTTCCTCTTCAATCAGCTTGAGTGCCAAGTCTTTATTAACCTTTGGAAGTTTCTAATGAAAAAAAGGAAATGTAGAACTCATCAGTATATTATTCTTTCGTGCCCAAGAAATTTTGGCTACATTACACATTTGACAATCATGAATTTAGTTCCAAGGACAAAAATAATCTCTACCATCTCTACTTTTTTCCTCACTGTGATCACAAAGTTCAACCCAAATTAATGAAAAACTGGATTTACCCATCCAATACAGTTACAGGCATTATTATAAAAAATGTTTAACCTAACAGCTTCCTAAGACCTAAGCACAGAAACAGTCACGGGACTATTCCCTGTCAAGTTAATAAGAAAGGTCAAAGTCCCCAAAGCAGTACTGAGTCTTCTGGCAAATGGCATACCATGTATTCACCTTCTAATTGTTGACTGCGAAGCCATATCATGGTTTCAGAAGAGGTCATTCATCTGCCATAACCACAGGGCAAAAGCAGTGTTAACACAGCACCTAGAAAGCTGCAGAAGCTGTATAGTCTCTCTGATCACTAGTCCAAAGGAAATGGTAGGGTTGTACTGAAATGCTGAAGCATCTTTGGCCTTGGCAGGGATAAGATATCAGGACAGATAGTTAGGGGGGGAGTTTTTTTTTTTTTTTGTATGCTGAGCAGATTTGATCTGTAAAGCCTTGATAAACAAACATGGAAGCCCATGATACCATTTTCAACAGTCACTTTTCAGGGCATAACTGCATTTTAAGGATCTGAGTCATTTGGTAAACCTCCAGTTTTACATGTAGAAGTAGAAAAAAAGTGCAAGCTTTATGCCTTGAGTAGTCTGGGGAAGTTTTGAAGCATGACAAGACTAAAGTGTCCATTTTCTTCTACTGCTTCATCTCAGGTTTCTTTTAATCAAATTGGGTTCCATATACATGGTAACATCAACAAACTCATGTATGAGGCGAAACACCATAAACTCCTAATCCAGTTACAGCTCTGTGGTTTAGTTATTTTACATTATTCCATATGAACAATTTTCTCTAAAAATTTTCTACCTTTAGTTGAACTCTTTGTGCACGTGTTTCTTCTATCTTCTGTCTAATTTTCTCTTTTCTATATTCCTCGTAGGCAAATGGATTGACCATCATTTTCACCTTTTAAACACAAATAGAAGGCATTAAAGAAAGGAAACAAATAATGAAGGAGTAAATATATAAATTAGTAAATATACAGTATACATAATGGCAAAAATGTACCAAAATAAGGATCAGCCTTAATGAATTAACCTTATTTACCTTGTGATACAGTCGTATGTCCATGAAAAAGCCATGCATATATGCTCTAAGTAGTGGTGATCCAATGAGATGGGCAAGGCCTGGGGGTGTTTGGGGGGGGTGGGGGAAGAGGTGGAACAAAACAAAAACAAAACAGCATAATATTATCAGAGGACTTCAAAGGAGAGTAGGATATAGGAAATTCTCCCAATTAAGCTGACTGAATACTTGACTAAAGCAAAACAACGGTACTGATTTGAAAGTATCAAAATTACCCATATTCATGTCCATTCTATCGAGACGGTAGCACTACAAACCATTATGTTAAGCTAGCAAAGTACTTGAGCAGCTCCACAACAGAAATAGTCTTTTCTTTTTGCTGCAGTAAATGTTTACTGCACACTTTTTAAAGATGCCCACTAGCCCACAATCTATGGATAGTTTACCAAGAAGCATTATTTGTGAGGAGAGAGCTTTCTGAAGGTATGTACGTGTTTGATATACACATTTGAATTACAGGTTTTGGTGTGGCATACTGATGTTTTAATTAAGAGTTTTTGCCCTGGGTCACTACCTTTGAAGAAGAGGTATGCTGAAAGATATAAATACAGCACGGATATAGATACCACAGCAGTTCATAAAACTGTTACCCTAGGCCCTAACCTAAAGAAAGAATGAAAATCTCCAAATGGGAGAAGATTGTGAGAGTATTTATCTTCAGGCAGCTCTGTATAGTTGAGAAAAAGGAGAACTTTTCTTTAAAGCAAACATTACCTACAGATCCAATAGTTCCAGAAATTAATAAATCTTGGCTAAAAGACAATTTCAAAAATAACAGATTTACACTGAGTTTCTCTCTTATCTCCCAAACTAATTTTGTTTTTAAAAACAAGACACAGGCATCATCTTTGAGAGGAAAACGTGACTGAGTTCAAAAAATAATGCTATCATTGTAAAACATGAAACTAAATTTTATAAACTTGATTGCTACTAGTCATAGAAGGGACTTAAACTTATACAGATGTATAGCTCCGAAAGACGCTACATCAATTGACATCTAATGATACAAAACAGTAATACCTGTAAGTTCTAGGTGCAAGATGCCCCATAAACCTGATTTGTCAATCCTAGGTGAATTTGGTTTAGCTTCTGCAGGTTAATGAAAATCCCAAACTGCAGCTTAGTTGCTCAAAAGGGACATTCTGAACCCTCTCCAAGTTCACAGAAGAATGGTCTTTTGGTTAAGACACTGGACTAGGTCTTAGACCATGTCTACACTACCACTTATGTTGCTCAGGGGTGTGGAAAAAACAACAACCCTCAGTGACATACATTTTGCCAGCATAAGTGGAAGCGTGCACAGTGCAACATAGCTGTCGCTGCTCACTGGGGGTGGTTTAATTATGTCGACAGGACAGCTCTCTCTCATCGGCATAGAACGGCTAAGTGGGAGATCTGACAGTGGCGCAGCTGCATGGGTACAGCTGTGCCACTGTAAGCTCTGTAGTGTAGACACAGTCTTAGAGATCTGATTCTATTCCTGGGCCTACCACAAACTTTTTGTATTATGCTGGTCAAGTTGCGAAGATCATGTCTACACTACAAGCGCTATAGCAGCGTAGCTATGGCACTGTGGCTATGAGACTGTAACCCTGTAGTGTAGACAGAGACTACAGTGATAGAAGGGGTTTTTACCATAGCTGTAGGAACTCTAGCAATAGCAGGTATGTCACTGGAAGCATTCTTCTATACCCTAGCTGTGTGTGCTCCAGGGATTAGGTTGGCATAGCTGCAGGACTCAGGACTGGGGATTTTTCACAACCCTGAGCATTGTAGCTATGTCAACCTAAGTTTCCAGTGTAGACCAGACATTAGTTTGTGCCTCAGTTCCCCATCTGTTTAAAAAAAAAAAAGGGGGGGGGGAAGGGGGGATAATACCTGCCTATCTCCCAGTGATGTTATGAAGGTAAAGCGTTATGGGTGGTGTATACATAAAAAAGTCCATAAAAATAAGTTTCCATTGACAGCTGTATGAATTTCATTGTATAAAAGTCCAAAATATACTCCTTACTGAGGATACCATTTGCAAGTGGATTCCTTTATCAAGGTACTTACTATGGCCTCAGCACCACAGTATCTGAGCATCTCATAAGTATTTAAAAGTAGAAACAACTTCTCTTCCTTTCCTGTGTTTCTCATTGTGTGGCTAAGTGGTTCTCGCAACAAATTTTTTGGCGGCCTCACAGAGTGGCCACCAAGGCAGCACTGACGCTTTTTCCTAAAATACTTGATTAACTTCAGGAAAAACAAATCCATAGCACATATACACATCCACACCACTGTAATTTATTTATGTAGGGGATTTTTTGCAGACTCAATAATAAAAATATTACAGTGAAAAGTGATATTTGTATGCTCGTTAACATCACTTTTCTCAGCAAGTCTCAGGACAAATTAAACCCTGGATTGGGGGTGGGTTGAGAGACAGAGGCAGTGGGGGACAAGGTGGGATGGATGTGGGCTGGGGAAGGCAGCGGGGGTCTGGGGTGATGGAGGGGTGGATGCAGGGCCAGGAAGACAGTGGGGTCCAGGGGCGATGGGGAGAGGGCATGGATGAGAGAGAGGAGGGTGGGTGGTGAGCCCTGCAGCTGGAACCGGGGATAGGCACCTGCTGCTGTGCAGCTGGGAGTCAGTGACCGTGGCCAGAGCAGGAGCTGCATGGCAGAGGCAGGGCATTGGAGCAAAGTGCCAGTACCCGCCACCACGTGGCCAGAGCCTGAGGCCGCGTGGTCGGATGTGGGGGTCAGTGCCCCCGCCACAAGGCGAAAGCCAGCACCCATTGCTGCGCACCTGGGACCGTCGCACCCCCAGGGCCGGGGATTGGTGCCCAGAGCGATGCCTGCTGCCACGCAGCTGGCACTACAGGTCAGCACCCAGGGTCAGCGGCCAGGACTGGGGGTCGGAGCACGTGGCCGGGGATTGGTGCCCAGGGCCAGCAGCTGCTGCCAGGATCAGGGGTCGGGGCACTGGGCCGACGCCGCATGGCCGGAGATGGGGATTGGAGCCTGCCGTCGCGTGGCCAGGGGTTGGAGCCTGAACTGAAGCCCCATGGCCGAAGGCTGGGGATGCATGGCCAGAGTTGGCAGTCAGCGCCTGAAACCCTGCAGCTGGAGACAGGTATTGGCGCCTGGAGCCCTGGTCCACGCAGCGAGGCTCCCTAAGTCCCGCCACTGGAACCTGCCTCCCAAGCACCTCAGGGCTGAAGCCTGAGGCCTGGTCTATGCTGTGGGGGAGGGAAGGAGGGTAGCTAAATTTGTCTAAATTACGCAACTTCTGCTACGAAAATAGCGTAGCTGAAGTTGACGTACTTAGAGCTACTTACCGTGGTGTCTTCACTGCGGTAAGTCTACTGCTGACGCTCTCCCGTTGACTCCGCCTTCGAGTCTCGCTTCGGTGGAGTACTGGAGTCGACGGGAGAGCGCTTGGCAGTCGATTTATTGCATCTTCACTAGATGCGATAAATCGACCCCCACTGGATCGATCACTCCTGAGGTAAGTGTAGACATGCCCTAAGTCTCATTGTGCCCCCCCAAGTAGAGAACTCATCGTGCTCCTGCAACATTGTGCACCACCTGGGCAGGGCTGCGCATCCAGGAAGAACAGGGAAGGAGCTGGGAAGGGACGATGCTTTGTCTCTCCCCCGCATCACCGCTCTTCCTGGCCACAGGGGTGGCTGCATGCCGCCATTTGAGAAATGCTGGGCTAAAAGAACCTCAAAGCACTTCCACAGACATACTAAATCACTGTACATCAACCTTCTCCTTAGGAGACAAGCTGTGAGCAAAGGTTGTCCAATTAGGGCAATCAGGACTGGCATGTTAGAAACAGTGGCAAGAGTTAGGAAGAACTACTTTGAGTAACTTTCTAACAGTCCTTTTATTGCTATACAGCACACCCAAACTTCAGACCTGCAACATGCAGCAATGTGAGTGCTTTAAAACTGAACAAGGAAAAGAGGACAAGAAACACACACACACAAAGAAAGGGTGGGGGTGGGGGGGTCTCTTAAATTTTACCTAAATTTTCAAGGTCTTTTCTGGTAACAAATTTGTAATCATCATAAACTGTGCTCTCCGGATTCTCCTCCAGTTCTTCTGTCAAGTTGTCCAAGAATGAGCACCATCTTGGGGCAGGACCTAAAACCTGTAGGCATGTTAAGAAGAGTTCTGAATTTATACATACACTCAAAAGATAAAAGCACAGCCAGCTCCTCACATCTGCTGCTCTACTGCAGTATGAGAGTAAATAAACAACACTGAAGCCAAATATGCTTAGACATCATCTTGAGAGCACAGCACAGTCAAACCTACTGCTTGTAGTACAAACAGAAATAATCCTGTATACTTTTTGACAGCACTATTGTTACAATCTAGGTAATTTAATCCAAGTCAACAATTTAGAGGCTTCTAGTTTAATTGCTTCAAAATGTGACAAATTGAGCTGATTATATATTAAAAGCCAAACATGATGGATAGTTTTGAACTTACCTAATAATGCTAGAAATCAAACAAATCTTTTACACTCAGCTGGATCTTGAATTTATTAACTCACTGGGCAATTATGTTAAATCCCATTTTGACCTGTTCATGTAATTAAGATGCCTGTGCGCATTTCACATACTTTCATTCGAGGAAAAGCACACTGTTGTGAGCTGGTAATTGGAAACATTTAAAAAATTTAAATACTCAATGTGTGAGATTTGAACTTAGTTTTGCTAGACTATCAATGTACTTTCAATTCATGCTTCCTCCTCCCAAAAAGCATGTATTAATTTTTTTTTTTTTTTTAACACCCCTCACTTTTTCCACTGCTGATACGAATCCTTCTCAATCTTGATGCATACAGTCACAGCCACTGTGCTGAGCCTATTATTTTAGTAGGCATGCTGGCTCTGTGGAAAAAAGGTCAACATGAAGGTCCTCTCTCCAGGGGGAAAAATGGAGAATCAATGGGAAGCTTGGGATGTAAGGGAGGTCACTAACTCCAGCAGAGTGGAACTTTTAATAATCCATTTTCTTCTTTGTTCCATCATTACTAATATGTGAAATGGGAGAAAAAAAGTCGCAATAGATACGGCAGTGGATGCAGTTCAAAAGAAATTTTTAGGCAACATTTGATAATGAAATACATATAATTTGTTCTTAATGAGAAGACTGCATTACACCAATAAGGATCTCTCAAAGTCTATGGTGACAAGACACTCTGCTCCAATTAGAAAAGTGTAATTTCCCTTTTTAAAAATGTATTTTCTTCAAATAACTATAGTTGCCTTAAAATAGCAGTAGTGTATTCCACACCATAACATTCAAATTTATTCAACAACATTTAAACGCCCCTGATGCAATATTTCCTTCATCGAGAAAAATGTCGGGCAGATTTAGCACGGTTTCCTTGTTTTGTTTAATCTGCTCTATTAACTGGCTTTATATATATCCTGTGCAGTTTAGAAATTTGCAGCACTATCTTTTAAAGTAATAAGAATAAGGTCAAACTGTGATCAAAGTTGGCAACCACAACAAACATGGCAACTGGAGATGTACACTGGCATCGTTAACCATGCCATTCATTTTACCCAGATTAGCTCTTTCCTCGGAAGATCACAATTAACTTGTCTCGGACAACAGAAACAGCTGCCTACTTAATCAATAAGGTTGGATTAACCAAATCTCCATGGCTGTCTGAACAGCAGTAACCACTTGACTAACATGGGTAACATTCAGAAAAATCTTAGTGTCATCATTCCTGTCAGACATTTTTTCCTCCTTTTAGATCTTAAACATCTCCAATTATATTTCCTGTTTTTTCCCTGCTTCAAAGCTAAATGAAAAGCTTTTAATAAAACTAGATTTCAGTCAACTGAGTACAAATGTTCCAGTCTTTCATGCTAATTCAAATGGTCACTGCTAAATGTTGCTTCATTACCATAGCTAAAAGAAAGGATTTTTCCTAGTCATATGTTTTGTGGTTACCTACATTCTTGTTTTGGATACAATTCTATTCACTTTTTTTTTTCTATGTTACTGCTGAGAAATATTTTCTTTCATCATGATCTTAGTCTGTCTCCTGAAGAGTCTTTGAAGTAAGTGGAGTTCTTAACTCATGTATATTTGAATCCCACAGAAAACTAGCTCTTCATAACATCTTGCTGTCACGTTGCTTTAACAAATGCAAGGTTCCTGCTTGTCACTTGGACAACTTTTTTTAAAAAATAGCTATCATCCATTGCTACTACATCACATCCTCAGGCTGTGTCCAACAAAATTTAAAAACTACAGATTTATCCATTAAAGCACAGGTTATTTCAGATGCACAGTGAGCTCCAAAGGACATCTTGAATACAGCAGAATCTCAGAGTTACGAACACCTCAGGTATAGAGGTTGTTCATAACTATGAAATGTTCGTAACTCTGAACAAAACGTTATGGTTGTTCTTTCAAAAGTTTACAACTGAACATTGACTTAATACAGCTTTGAAACTTTATGCAGAAGAAAAATGCTGCTTTTAAGCATATTAATTTAAATGAAACAAGCACAGGAACAGTTTCTTTACCATGTCAAATCTTTTTTTTTAAAGACTCTGTTTTATCTAGTTTACATTTAACAGTACTGTATCTCTAAATACAGATATTCCTTTATTAGTTTTACCACTTTTGTTTCTCCCCTAAAGCCCTCTGAAACTGAATTCCTGCCCATCCTCCCTTTGCTTTATAGCATATGTTCCATTTTAATAAATTTACAGCAGTTTTATTTTCCTCTTTAACTGTTAATTCCTTTCCTCCTCTTATTTCCTCTCTCCGTTAAAACACATTACATTCGCCTCCCCTCTCTTCCAGCAACCACTCAAACAGCCTTGGCCTTTCCATCTCCACAGGGCCCTAGGCACCATTAGAGAGTTTCTATGCTTCTCCTATTCAGAGACAAATCCTCCCCTGGCACAAACACAGAGACTATTGATGGGTCAGCAAGTGTTCTGGGAGCTGAGAGGGTCTGACTGTCCAGTTCCCTATTACCAATGCCACAGCCAGGGGAACAGAGACTCCTTCCCCACCTGGGAGATCAGGCTTTGCACTGAGAGAGGTTAAGCAGGAGGACTGCCTAGACTAAGTGGTTAATATGCCTGCGAACCAACATGGAGATACATAATTCTACAAAATCCAAATGGAGAAAAATGCATTGAAATTTGCAATTAGGTCAAGAACAGGATAGCTGATGCAACTGCAGATACACAAAGAAATGAAAACAATGTGATGAAACTAGACTCAAAGTAGAAAGTTCCCAGTTGTACAATATTAACAAATGACATTTCTAATCTGTTAAAATGACAATTTTAATAAAGTTAGCAAATTGTAAAATCACTGAGCCAGTACACGTTTAAATTCATTTTTTATTCGTGTTCTATATTTCTATAAACATAGAAATTTCAAAATCACTAGCAACATTCATCAAGAAGTGGAAGATTTTCAAAGGCACAAAGGGAAGTTAGGCACCAAACTCCAAGTGAAAAATCAATGAGAGCCGGACACCTAAGTCTCCCCCCTACAGTCTAATATGGACAAAAATATCTAGCCATTACGTCTCTGATTCACCAGGCAAAGATGCAAAAATCAACAGACAGTGCCTATTTTTCCTAGTCCACATTATAGTGTTTGGGCAAAGAATTCTCTCAGCTTTTTCATTGTTAACACAAGACAAAATGTAATGGGTCCTCTATTACTGAAATGTTCTGAGATGTTCAACTGAGTTTTAAATATGCCTAAAACTTGTTCAAACATTAATTATAAAACGGAAAAAATTTCTGGTGGGATTAACCTCCCCAAAAAGACTGTTACTGTAAATTACATTTTTTTTTTAGATTTACTATTCTTTGTATTTTAAAGGGCAATTAAACTAACACCAAGAGAATGATATTGTAATACAAGAGCCTCATGTGGTACAGCTCTCATACAATGCAACTGTTAATCTATGTTGTTGTAGATGAATTTAAAGAAAGTGTATGAAATCCCTGAGGACCTCTCCTGATAATACCATGCTGTTGTCATCCCATTAACATTCCACTAAAGTTAATGAAATGTTAGGCTATACCAGATATTATTTCAAAAGCACAGCATGTTCTTGCGAACCTGTATTTGGTACATTTGATAGCAATTGAGCAGTTAAATGCTGTTTAATTAGTCAGTTCCACAGCTTCATTTGAACCATAGAAACAACAAAACCAATCCCAAAAGGTGCTGAACTCTCTAAACTCCTATTGATTTCACAAGGAAGTTGAGGGTGCTCAGTACCGCACATGATCAAGCCCTATGAGATAAACAGAATAAAGCTGACTTTAAGAAGGGGAGAGTACTATGTTAAGTATCAGTTTGATGCAGTTTATGAGCCCAATCCCATGCAACTGAAATTAACAAGAGTTTTCAAAGGAAGCAGAAGTTTCTATAAAAAGTTCTATTTTATCAAATGCCACATTATAGGAACCTAAAAAGAGTTTATAGTGGAATTACCAAATTGTAAATGGGATGCTAGAAATTGCAGTAAGTCTTCCCACGGCACAAAAAATATTTTGCACTATTTATCTACTGCAGTAAAAATATTAAAATATATATTTGCAAGCAGCAGAAATTGGATTTCCAAATGCAGTTATATAGTCTAAACTGCATTAAATTGCCCAGAAGGCAGAACACAAAACTAATTTGTAATGCTTCAAATTAACACTTCACATTTTACAAAACACACAAGGATTATGGACTATCAAGTTATCAGTCAGTCAATCTTAGGATTCTTATTTTAGGTCAGCACTGATTAATGTGTAATCTTGTAAAACATCCATTTACTACTTTGTTGTGGGTTCCACAGCACATAGAGTGGCGGCTTTACGGGTGGGATTCAAAAGAGGGACTTCAGTTCTTAACTGCCCCTACAGGCGCCTAACTAACCCCCCTTGCATTGCATAGGGAGCCTGGGTGCCTAACATGGAGTTGTGAATTCCACTTGGCAGCAGGGTGCTTAGACGGCAGGTGCTGCAATGCTCAGCCCACCCCACCCCCCAGTAATTCCCACCTCCGCTGCCTAGTTAACACCATATCACTGTGCATATAACTTGCGTCTCCATTCTTCATATTAAATAAGCCTCTCTTTTAGGGGATTCC